TTCCCTGAGCCCCGCGCCCCCCCTCTGACCCGGCCCCTCTGCGTGGTCCCCCCCGAGCGACCCTGGTCTCGTCCCTGACACCCCCGCCCCGGCTCCTCATCAATCCCCGCGGCCGCCACGCGCGGACATCCCCGTCCCTTCCTCACGAACCGCCCCTCCCGACTACTGACACCTCGCTTCTGCCCCCAGGCCCCTCCCTGCACGCGACTGACCTCTCCCCCCGCTCACCTGTCCCCTGATCCCCGCACCCTTCCTGTCCGCTTCTCTTTGAACCCACCCCCGAAAGCCCTTTGCCTCCAATTCACCCCACTTTTCCAAACATTGCTCTTCAAGTCCACTGGCCCAGCAACCGCCCCTCCCGACTACTGACACCTCGCTTCTGCCCCCAGGCCCCTCCCTGCACGCGACTGACCTCTCCCCCCGCTCACCTGTCCCCTGATCCCCGCACCCTTCCTGTCCGCTTCTCTTTGAACCCACCCCCGAAAGCCCTTTGCCTCCAATTCACCCCACTTTTCCAAACATTGCTCTTCAAGTCCACTGGCCCAGCCAGTCCCCCATGCCTGACTCCACTCAGCACTTCCTCTAATCGCGACTTCCTTCCTCCCTCTCTCCCTAAATACCAGATCATCCTTAAACCCGTGTTCTTCCAAATTTGACCATATCTGTTCCAAACCCTGGAGCTGGTCTCTAACAGCCCTAACAACCTATGTATCAGGTCACTAATCTGGTCCTTATTCCGAAAATCAGTAACCACCCCCGCAGATCTTCCTGAAAATCAGCCCTCTTCTCGTTGAATTTGATGTTAAATGATGAGATTCCTTCATTTTCTGGATTATCGTCCTTGGTGACTGAAGAAACTTTTGCTGCTATTACTTCCTCATTTTCCTTTTTTTTGCCTGATGATTTTTCTGAATGGCATATAGGATGAAAGGACGTTTTGGATGTTTGTTTCAACCCTTTGGATACTGCATAAGCAAAAGGGAAATGCCCTAGAGGAATTGAGCTCCACCTAATTGAGGAAATCCATTATTTGCCAGATTGCCAATTTTGTTGGACGGCTAAAAAGGGTAACTCAAGAGTGACACAAAGTTTACATCCAAATTCAGGGAGGACTGAAGGGGGCTGAAAAAGAAGCCTTTGATAAAATCTAAACTTGGAATTTCCATTGCTTTCCTTTTGATCTGGGAAGAATCACTTCATCTCCCCTGCCTCCCAAGTCATAAACTAGTTTTGTGGAATTCATAACTGGAGAATTAAAGTAGTAGAATGACCTCTCCTGTGGATCCCAAGATTAAACAGGCTTTGCAGAAAAAAACATCAGAAAGGACTCAAGAGGTAATGGATTTGGAATTTGCTTTTCACTTGTTTCTTTTCTTGTATATTGCCAGACTGATCAGTAGTTCAGTGGTTTCTGTGTGTATATAAATTTAATTTGTGAAAATTGCAGTGTTGGCACTTATGTGCTGACACTTTTTTTTAAATTAGCAGGAAATACTCCTCCCATTACAAGTTTTTTTTGTTTTTTGTTTTTCTTCAAAATAGGTTCCTTCGTACTCTGCAGGATATAGTGCATTTAGGATACACAAGACACTTATAAAGTCATGATTTTCAAAATGGATAGCAGAACAATTCATTGGGTTAGATGGAACTTTGGGCACACATGCATTGTTAAAAATGATACTTATATCAGTCTTGCAAAGTTTCATGAAAAATTAGGAACCTGACATAATCCACTCACTAACACCATAATGCAATTTTTTTCTATGCTTAAGGAACAGACACACTTCCCCTAGAAAGTGGGGGAACAGAAATTTGCAAGGCAAGCTATTTATATTAAATCAGTGAATTCCAATAAAATGACTAGCTTCAATCAACCATATTTTTGGGCTCAACATACTGTAGAAGAGCAGCATTATGAGATTTTAATTTCTACCAGGCAATGTATCTTTGACAGTGTTTGCTCATTAGTGAAAGATTTGGTTTGTTGGTTTACATTTGCCCTTTTACCTTACTGAAATTTCCTTGTGATCAACAGCTGAAGAACAGTATGAAAAGAGTACTCCAATCCCATGTTTGAGACAGGGAAACATCTGTTCTCCCTTGATATTTCATGGAAAAGTGAAATGTCCTGCCTGATCCCTTTGAGCTAATTGTCAAAAGGCTACGTAAAGAGTATTGCTATAGAAATTTAGAAATGTGTTGAGGTGGGACAGTGATAAATGTGGCACACATCACATCCATACTTGTGCACATAACAAAACTCTTTCTGAACATGGACAGTCTGTGGTGGAGTAGGGCTGTGGGGTTCAGGTTATGGCAGGAGGGGCTCAGGATTGCGTCATGAGCTTTAGAAAGGAGCTAGAGTGGTGGAGTGGGCTCAAGACTGAGGCTCTGAGTTGCTGTGCGGGGTCTTGGAGGGGGTTAGAGATTATAGTGCAAGAGGGGGCTCATTGCTGGTGCTAGGTTTGTGGTCCATAGCACTTATCTGGGGCAGCCCTGTTTGATGGGGGAGGAAACAGGAAGCTCCATATGGCCCTGCACTACCCTGCACTCGCCTGCAGGCTAGGGATGTTAGATATCTTTTAATTGAATAACCACACCAAATTTTAGTAGTTATATGATTATTCAGTGGTCCCTAGGGGCGGGGCTAACAGCAAGTGTGCTCCTGGCACCATTCCTGGGGAGCCCCCTGCCACCTATGCTGCTGCCTGTGATAGAGAGGCAGCAGCCTCTGTTGGTAGGGAGCCTGAGCTCCCCACAGACAAAGGCTGTCCTGGCATTCTGTGGATAAGCCCAGATTTATTGGTTAATTGTTTAAACAACTACATGCTAATATCCCTACTCAAGCAACACTTCACCAACAGCTCCAATAGGCCGTGATTCCTACTCAATGGGAACAGTGGAGGTGGAGCTTCCAGGGGTAGAGCTTCCTAGAGCTTGCAGCAAAGCAACTCCATGGGGAGAGGCAAGAGGAACAGTAGCATGTGGATGCAAAATTATTCAAGATAGTTAAGTCCAAAGTAGACTGTAAAGCAGGGGTAGGTAATAATTTTTGAGTGGGGGACACTTAAACATTTTTTGAAGTCACGGGCCACCCCAGAAGGGACGGGGCCTCAAACAGAAGGGGCGGAGTCTTTAAGTAGCAGAAAGTACTTCATCCTGCCATGAGGGCAGGGGATTGGACTCTGACCTCTCAAGGTCCCTTCCAGCTCTGGGGGGGGGGGGAGTGTGTGTGTGTGTTTTTTCTTGCAGTGCTAAAGTAAAATATACTCATGCCTCCTCTATAGCTCCCAGGCATCACTTTAGCCCGAGACAGGAACTGCAAGCCCTTTCAATTCCTGCAATTTAAAGGGCTCGCTGCTAGAGGGTTGGTGCTGGAAGCGGGGGACACATGAGCCCTTTCAGGTGCTCCTATTTAAAGGGCTTGTGCCTTCCCTGGGGCTCTTGCCTGCCAGCCAGGGAAGGCACAAGCTCTTTAAATAGAAACAGTTGAAAGGGCTCCCAGGCAACGTGCTAGCGTGGGACCTGAGCTGTGAGCGAGAACTGAGCCGGGCTGTCTGCCTGCTTGGCTCCTAATAAACTTTAAATGCAGAGCTGCAGCGAGGGTAAGTCCTGGACCCAGCATGAGCCAAGACTCTGCTGGCCTGTCGGCTAAAATGTTTGCAGGCAGGGGATGGGTGGGTAGTCTATAGCATTAACCTATAAGTGTTTGCTTATCGGTTAATTGACTACAATATTACATCCCAATTCCAGGAATGTTGTGAAGACCAAAACTATAACTGTGTTTAAAAAAAGAATTGGATATATTCATAGAACATAGATACATCAATGGTTATTAGCAGGGCTTGACAAATAATACAATCTACTCGCTCGTGGCAAGTAGATTGTAACCTGGAAGAGCTGGGTTCGGGCGATCTGTGCATGCGCAGATCACCGGACAGCACGGCTGGCGAGCGGGGCTTGCTGCGATTCAGCAAGCCCTGGTTATTAGACAGGATCATCAGTAATGTAACCCCTTTTAGGGATGGGGTAGGGTACATGTTTAAATGGTTAACTGATGAGCCTTCACCATTACATGCAAAGCCGCTCCCCCACTGCTGCTGCCTCTACTACAGAGGAAGCAGCATGAGGGGGCAGGCGGGGAACTGAATTTTAAACCAGCTTCCTGCGTGTACTGGCTCCTCTGATATAGAGGCAGCATCATGCTTGCCTTCCTTCTCTGCTCCCTGTGCTGCTGCCTCTGTATCGGAAGCAGCAGCAAGGGAGGGGGCAGGCAGAAGCTGGTGCTTAAGGGGGAGCTGCCTTTAAGTCAAAAGAACAAAACAACAACAACAAAAGCATTTCAACATCCCTAACTGCTTTAATGTGGATGTCCCTGAGTCTCTGAGTGTCAGATGCTGGGATTAATCAACAGGGGACAGATCAGTTGATAACCTGTTCTTTTCATTTCCTTTGAAGTGTATGCCATTTCCCACTGTTGGAAGTTGTGGTACTGAGCTAGATGTACTATTGGTCCGACCCAGTATGGCCATCCTTATATTTTAGACTTCATTCTAGTGTCCGGGGCAGGCATCTATGTTGATTGGTCTTTTCACAAAACATGAGTTAGTATGGCATTCTGTGTTGCTTCATGAGTTTGTTTTTGGCAGCATTTAATGCTTCAGACTTTTGTTTCAAGGGGGAGGGATAGCTCAGTGGTTTGAGTATTGGCCCGCTAAACCCAGGGTTGTGAGCTCAATCCTTGAGGGGTGCCATTTAGGGATGTGGGGATGGTACTTCATCCTGCCATGAGGGCAGGGGATTGGACTCTGACCTCTCAAGGTCCCTTCCAGCTCTGAGAGAGGTAGGGTGGGTGTGTGTGTGTGTGTGTGTGTGTGTGTGTGTGTTTTCTTGCAGTGCTAAAGTAAAATATTTGAAACATTCTTTGATAGTAAGCCCAAGTTTTTTTGGCACTTCTGTTAACAGAACACTCTGGGGCAGTTATAAAAGCATCTTGAATAATATGTTTCTAAAACAGAAGTAAAGATAACCTGACAAACATTACATTAATCTTGTCAAATTAAAAATCATATCTTGTAAGTATGCTAAGGCCCTGATTCATCTTTTGGGCAGGCCTCTGGATCCCCACTAACTCCAGTAGAGCTTTGTGAAGGTGAAAGGTTTTTGATGGCGTGGCTCTGATTCCTGAATCAGGGTGTAATTTCTTAGCCTATATTATGAATAGTTAAGATCAAAACAAACCCTCACTGATGTGGCTCCCAACTGACAGAGAGAAAGACACTCCCTACATTCCCCTTAGATGATCAAGATTTTCATTCCCAATGGTATCTGGAAATTTCTGTTCTGGAACAAAATTTCATACTTATAGTAACATTCCAATGCTTATTAATTGTTTAATATATCTAACTTGTGTGCTAACATGTAGACACTTGATTCCTGTTTGAATAGGTACTGCATATAGTCATATTTTAATTTATTTGTGAAAAACATTATAACCAGCTTCTGAGATATCAAATAAGTAATTATGTTGATGATCTGCTAAAGATTTGTTGCTGCCTTTTATTAATACAGGCAGTCCCCGGGTTACGTACAGGATAGGGACTGTAGGTTTGTTCTTAAGTTGAATCTGTATGTAAGTCGGAACTGGCCTCCAGATTCAGCCGCTGCTGAAACTGATCAGTTTCAACAGCGGCTGAATCTGGACTCCAGTTCTGACTTACATACAGATTCAACTTAAGAACAAACCTACAGTCCCTATCTTGTACGTAACCCGGGGACTGCCTTTA